ATATATATATATATATACAGTATTTCACTTTTACTGATGTCTTTTTTTTTTAACATCACTAGCCAAACTTGGGAAGATTTTTTAATACTGTGATTTTGTAAAGTTAAAAAAATATTGATGTTAAATTTGTATATTTTTGATATACACTTGGTGAGGACTAGCTTAGGTTTCAAATATTAGTTTTGCTTTGGAAATAGCAGAGGCTAAATTATTTCATTTAGATCATTCAAGACTTATGATCAGAACTATAAATAATTGTTTATTCAATTTAAGCTATAGGTGAGGTCTTGCACAATCTTGTCTCATTTGTCATTTTGAAGTGAAATATGGCTAGGCCTCAAACAAGACATTTGAATGCTTCACTCATTTGAAAACCATTGGATAAATTGAAACTGTCAATCACATCATGCTATTTTAAATTGACTATAGGTGTCCCAAAATGTCATTGGCCGAATTCAGAATCACCTTCATGAACAAAGCAGACAGTTACTCACAACACAAGTAGATGACCAATATTTGTTGACTGTGTCCTGCCACTATTGTGAGTTACCTACTCCAAGACTTGAATAAATGTTTACAGATGCAGCTGGATCCATATAATTATAAAGATGGTTAGAAACAGACTTCACAAAGTTGATCTGTATGTCAGACATCTAGTGAGGTGCATTCAACCTTCTCAAGTCTTAGAACAGCTTGTCTGCAATGGTACAAAGAACATATCAGTAACACTTGGAGACGAGTTACACTTCACAATGCAATCAGATAACAAACGTATTCATTTAGAGAAAGTAAAATTAGAGTCATTCCAATTTTTTTGCAGGAATTTAATATGCACGGCAATTGTGGGAGTATGATGTGGGTAGAAATAAGTATTAATAGATGTATCTACCTCTACATCTTTAGAAATGGTTACATTACCTCTGTCAAAATGGGCTCAGTCAATTTGACCTACCACATGACCTCTTTGTACTCGTTTAATGTCTTTATAGATTTAGTACTTCTAAATTTCAATATAATGTGTATATCTTCACAAAATTTGGCAGTTAACAGTCTTTCAGTTAATGTTACAAATCTTTCACATACAAACAAATCATATTTTTTAGTGAAGTATTTTTAATAAATTAAAAGATTTATCCACGAATATGTTGAGTATTTGTTTTGAATAGTCCGTGTGCAAAGTAATTTTCCAGTTAAGATTAAAAATACTTTTATTCATCTCAAAATCTTAAATTTCCTTTGTGTAATCCCTAAAATCTCCTAAATACATTTCAAACGTATTTTTTTCAGTAAAATATTTTATCAGTTATTTATTTTCTCTACCCTATCTCTATATGGGATCGATCAATTTGACTGACCTCGTAATCAACAAAAAAATAAATCTAAATTATCCTTTTTTTCTTTCTGGAAATTGTAACATGAAACTACGTTCGTTTATCCTAAGTAGCTTTAAGCTCATAACAGTATACATCTATTTATAATTAAATTTTATTATTTTATTGCCCTTTGAACTGTGTCAAACTACTATTTGTACCATTATAAGTTGTAAATCACTCGGGGGAATGTGCAGCTCACGTTATGCTATCAAATTATGTTACCCATGAGCTGCTCTTGTGCGTGCCTCTTGGAACCTTTTTATTATATTATTATTATTATTATTATTTATTTTACCTAATTTAATCTAAACTAACCTAAAAAGATCAATATTTTTACATTTTAATTACTTTTATAATAATAAAGAATAAACATGAAAAACAAGAAATAAAGTATTTACCCAATCTCATTTTTTTTTCTGTTGATAACAATTAACCCCATTTTTTTTTAAACTAATGGTAGTAATGCATTAAATAGTTTTTATTTAATTAAATAATGCACCAAAGAACATGTAAAAATATGTAAAAAGTAAGCAATTTCTCCTATCTCTCAAAATCTTTCTGGCTTTTTAACTATGCAACAAGAGCCAATACAAATTAATCCAAGCTAGTCATTAAATTTCCCATGGGAACGAAGCTTGTACTCTGAGTGAAATTGACACTTATTTATTCAGAACACAGCAATATACAATATGCCATTTGATAGATGAAGACCTTGACTTTCTTTTGGTTATAGGTAATATATAATTAAATGTGAGAGAGAACTATTAACAAATCCTGAAAGAAAGGATGTGACAGGTGGGTGTGGCATGAGGGGTCTGATTCATTATTTGATAGCTCTGCAACCAAACAGACTTGAAGGCTATAAAAATTATGGTTTGTCTGAGCAATGACGATTTTATAGTGAGTAATTTACATGTAGTTTCGTACAGTTTCAAGGGGTGGTGGATAAAATAGAGAGGAGAAGATACCTAGAGAAAATGTGTCACATATGTCACACTAGGAGAAATTCAGGATTTTTTTAAATATTGCCTTATAAAATTTAGAACTTAAAGCTTATATACTATTACAATATGGATTATTACCAAAGATTTTATGCTATACTAATTGGTATAACATAAACAAAAAGTAGTTTCATAAAATTTTGAATGTAAGACATTAAAACCTTGTGTCATGCGCAGTAAAGGGTACCCATGGAGATGGGGCTAATGCACTGCATTATAGGGACACAATTGAGTTATTCTTATGATCCTTTATGGTGCAGTTGGTTCTGACTTAGTCTAGTGGATGCTAAACTTGCATATTTCTCATTGAAGATGGGATTGATACCCACCAGGCTTCAATTCCTTCGAGTATTACAAATTGTCAACTAACTTCAGGCACAAAAGATGTCCTGGAAACAAGTTATTTAGAAGAGTAGTCAGGGGTACATCAAGATCTTATCCACACTGATTTTTCAGCATGCATCCATACGAGGCTGCTCTGTTCATGGTAATGATACATCATATATAAGTCAAGTGTCTTGAATTTTAAAGATGCAAAATGCACTTATCAATCAAGAGCTTAGGCTGAATAAATACTTATTTGCATTTCAGAACACACTATAAATCATCAGATGCTTGATTTGCATAAAAATGGACAGTGGTGATTGACATTATTTTATAATGGTAGTTTTTTTTTCTTGTAGTAACTGAAATATATGTGGATACTATAAGTTTTCCTTTAATTAAGCTATGCAATGTACTTGTGTTCTCTGGATACTGTAAAGTTTTGGTTAAGGATTTAAACTGTAAAATAGTGCTCGGTATAGACAATGATGATCCATGTTTATATGAACAGTAGCTGGTACTTACTGTTTGTGAGTTGGAGGTTTGATTTTTAAACAATTTTTATAGAAAACACATTCAGCTAATCATTTTTTGTTGCATAAGTAGCTTATTTTATGTCTTTTTTTAGCTAGATTAATTTCCATAAATTTCTGTGATAAATGAACAGTAAGTTACAGTCATGTTATGGTTACCTTAAACTACTAATAGTATTACATAAAACTGGAATCAAAGAACTAAAAAGCACTAGCAAACCCTTATCAGGTTTTATAACAAAATGTATGATTGTACAACAAGCTATAAACATTTTTATTTTTCAGTAAATCCAAAAAGGTTCATATGTGTTGTACAAATGAAGAATTGACCAATATTTTTTTTAAAATACTCAACTTAATTCTCAAGTTCTTTGTTTATGTTTTTATTTTTTTGTAGATACCAGCTGTATTTTGTGTTTCTGTTGATTTTTTCTGTTAAGTCGTAATATAAGTGTAAAAGTTTATTTTAAGACAGCTGGATGTGGTAAGTTGTGTGGTTTTTAGGTGTAGGTGGGCTGAATTCTTTACAGTAGGTGTCTATGACTTGTTGGCAATAAATTTTAACAATAAACAAACAGCACACAATCCACTTGTTTCAAAATAATATATTAAAACAAGTCAAATGCATATACAATTGTTTGTTACACAATTAATCACCACACTTGTTATCCAGAGCTTTAAATAATCATCTCTTTTCATCAAAGTTTACATAGTCTGGTTTAGCTACTTTAGAACACATATGATGAGACAAATTATTCTTCCCTGCTCTGTTATTACAATACAATCAGTGATAATTTTACTTAAGTTACTCTGTTGGTTACTACAGTTGTATCCAGAGCTTTAGATAATTCTATTTTCATCAGAAGTTCACACAAGTTTGTTCAATTACTTTATGACACAATTGACAAATTATTCTTCTCTACTCTGTTGTTACAATATAATCTGCAATAACTTCACTTTAAAATTGCCTATATACACTCTTTACAGCTAAATTCACAAACACACAACCTAGCTCTAGCTATTTATCTAACTCATGTTTTCCTACTTTAACTACATTTTGGATGTGTATTTATAAATAGCCCAACTGAGGCCTAGAATATATCACACACTACGAGATATGTGATGTAATAATACTCGAGAAAAACTCAGAAGATTCTAGTAACATAATGCAATAATACAAAAATTGCCAATTTACAACAGTTGAACTACACAATGTATGATTTTTACAGTTATGTAAACAAACCTGAGTTAAACTATTGTTTCTAAAAATAACTATATTTAACACTCCCACTATACTTGAAGCAATCATGTATATCTAACAGTGATAAAATCTGAATATTTATCTCCTCCAAGACTTCATATTTTTTACTATAGAAGTAATTGTTTGCTTAATCTCAAATTAAATTTGATCTTTTTTATTTTATTATAGCAACTGAGACCACTATTCCTGGTGTGTTAATTGGTGAACAAGATGGTAATGACATCAAACATTTTTATTTGTATGAAAAAGGGTAGGTGTAAAACCTCAGCAGTAAGTCTGGGGTCTTATAATGCTAAAAAATTTTGTTTTGATACCCACGATGCACACAGCACAGATAGCACATTATGTAGTTTTTTTGTGTAATAACAAACAAACAAGCTCACAGTAGATAATCACAAATGTACCATAACCAGTTCACACTTATAATTTTAACTAATATTAACTTGTGTCAGCCCAACTAGGTTGATAGCTTAGAATGTTACTCAGTGGAGCTTTACATGACTTCTACTGAAAGATGATATATATATTTCTTAAAAATGTAATTTTTGGTCTATATGCTCTAATTAATGAAGAAGAAAAAACTCAAATTAAATTAAGTAAGTCACTGTAATTATGTACAGAGAAGTCAGATAAGATAAAACAATTGCACAAAATATAATCAGAAAAATGCAACTAAAGACATTAAAATATAAATTATCTACATGATTGTTCATAACTTAAGGCTACAATAATGAAACTTTGTAGAATGGACGGCAACTGCCTGTTGTAGAGACACAAGCGTAGAGGGCGATGTTTCGAAAGTCTTCCGCCTTTTGTCTTCAGAAAGGCGAAAGACTTTCGAAACGTCGCCCTATATACACTTGCGTCCCTACAACAGGCAATTGCCATCCATTCTACAAAGTTTCATCATGATTACTCTACCCAAGAAGCTATCTAAGAAGGTTATAATGATTGATAGTAACCTCTCAAACATCTTGGCCATACTTGCATCCTTGGACGCCACTCATATCAGGTTGAGTGATTACAAAAATAATTCCTAAACTAAACAAATTTTTCATGTTAAGTCTGTCACACTTAATTAGGTATCTAGAAGAATTAGCTGTGTATCTCCATATATTTTCTGTTGGCCAATTGGTATGTACAGGTTGAAAAGACAAATATGAATATAAATTTTACATAGGTTTTTTTAATGATTGGCAGATGTTTGTTGTTTTTTTTTCTAGTTTTTTGCTGTTTTATTATATTTCTCCAAAAGGAGCAACCAGTAGATAAAAAAAAGATCTCTCAGGGTCTTGAATATGGGCTGGAATTCTATTACAGTAGGTGTCTGTGACTTGTTGGCGATAAATGTCAACAATAAATGGAGAGCACACAGTTCACTTGTTTTAAATTAATATATTCAAAACAAGTCAAAAGTATATACAAAAATTTGTTTCACTATCAGTTATCAAAGTTGTAGCCAAAGCTTTAACTAATAAAAGTCCACACAGGCTATTTCAGTTATTTTAGAACTCAATTGACAAGACAAATTATTTTTCTCTACTCTGTTTCTTACTGCGCAATCTGTGATAGATTTATTTATGCTCCCCTTTGGTTACCACAGTTGTATCCAGAACTTCAAATAATTGTCTTCTTTTCATCAAAGTCTACACAGGTGGGATCAGTTACCTTAAAACACCCTTTGACAAGACAAATTGTTTTCTTTTATCTCTGTTATCACAATACCACTGTGAAACTCATTTTAAATATTGCCAGTTATGGCTAAACTAATAATTATGCAGTCTAACTTCACTTTCACTAACTTAACGTTTTCTGACTTAACTTCTTTAGAAATCAGCCATCATGGCTAGATTGCCAATCACTCAGTCTAGATCTGTCTGATTTATTTCTCACTTAAACTGCTTTTTTCACTTTCTCTTTGTATCTGCATGTATTTGTAACACATGACAGAAAAATCAAGAAATATCTAGCCCTATAGTGACAACAATATTACACACAACAAGAAAGATGATGACAGAAATATTACGAAAGCCTAGTACAACAATTAAACTGCATACACAATGTATGACTCATACAAAGTTACGTAGTGAAACTTGTCACAACTGTTGCTTTTAAAATAATTAACTTTTAACACTTGTTATGAAACTAAATAATCACTAAACAAGGTAAATAATAACACTTAAACTAAACAGTTTGTATATCTAACAAGATCAAACTCTGAAATAACAGTCTGCTGTTTTTAGATAATGTGCAGAAAAAAATCCTCATTTATATGATTGTTGTGGATGTCGTAAAGTATTTTAAAGTTTCTGTGGTAAGATCTCGTTAGTAAATCACATCGACTTTAATTTACATTTGTTATTAATAAACTACTTTTCTATGTGTTGTATTATATGAAGTTTAATAAGAGCCAATAAATCTTGTAAAGAAAAATACTGTCTGTAAGTATCTTTACGATGGTAAATTGGTATTAGTGCAGTCAAGCGGAATTTTTAAAATAAAATTTGAACTGTTAAGGATCTGTAGTTTGATACAATACTATAAAAATCTACTAACTGAGCTGTTTATAAAATATTAGGTTTTTAGCATTTAATTTGAACATAATATTATAATTGTTTTTAAAGCTTGTTTTTTACACTGTTTTTGGTTACTGAGTAACAGTTAATTGTTAAGAAATGTTTTCCCGACAGCTACACACTAATTCTGTATCCTGAGCTGAATTTCAACCTCAACACATACCTGCTTCCTTTTGCTGTCATCATTGGTATCTGCTTTATAATCATGGTAACTTTTATGGTAACTACAACTTAATCTTTTACTTTGTAGAATAACTGATTTATTTTTTTTTATTATGAATGTCAATTCATTGGCATACCGTTGTACAGATGAAATGTCATAATCAGTTGTTTTTTTTAAGTTTATCTTGTTATAGTTATTATTACTATTTCAGCTTGTTTTCATGTTTAAGAAGTTTCAGGATAGAATGTAATACCAGAGAAAATGCTACTTTTAATGGTGTATGCTTGTCATCATTAAAATCTTTTGAGAAAAGTTGGGTTTAGGACTATAGCTACCTTAATGTGACTATTTCACTTACACATTTATGATAACCTAGATTTCTGTGACAAGAGTTTACATTAGGATAAATCTTCTATTATTGGGTTTGAAATAAATGTTACTGTTAAACTGAACTGTTCTAATGGAAGCTGAGATTCAGTTCCATCCTGTTTTTATTCTGGAATATAACACTAACAATTAACTTGAAATTTATTGTTGGATATAAAAGCAACCTTTCAGTGTACCAAGAGCAAGCTAATTTTCACCTAAAATTCTATGACAGAAGCTGAGTAAATGTTAGGTAATATTTATGCCCCAACACAAATATCTATACCAGAAGTCAACAGTAAGATAATATCTTATGTTAAAGTTTCCAACTGCATGCCACCAAAGTGTTCTGTGATTGAAGTTTAAATTGGGATGAATGTATAAAGAATTTTTCTAATTGCACTTGTCCCAATTCCATATCCAGTATTTTCTTTGTGAAACACAATAATGCTGTTTTAATAGCTGCTAAAATACCAAAAATTTCTAGCCAATCATCAAAGTTCTGTGAAATATACATGATCCTATTCAGCAGCATCTAAGTCTCAAAAAAGTTTTATTTTGCCAGAAAGAAAAATATCAAATTGAATTTAAAATTTTGACAGAATAAGTTTGGTCTTTTCTTGATTTTTGGATGCTAGTAGCCTGATCATTTTGCTTATCCAAAAATGAATTCATCCAATAAAAATTCAACTGTTCAAATTAAACCACTCACAACTTGTTGATTTTTTTTTAGTCTCTTTGTGTGCTCATTGCTCTTTGAGATGTGTCGAAAAGGAATACTAGCTATTAGATGCAGATTACTCCTCTTGCAATGGTGATATTAAGAGTGTAACTGCAATTTTTGTCATTTTTCTAGCTGATTAAATGCATTAACGATCGTAGACATGGTCAAAGGAATAGGTTATCATCGAAACATCTGAAGCAATTACCTGTTAATAAATTTAAGAAAGGTAAGACAGAAATAATATGAAGTAAAGATCATACATTGAGACAGAAAACATTGTAAAGTAAAGCATGATAATTAGGAACATTTAGGTTGAGATAAAAAAATTCAAGAACAAGGTGATTATTGGTAACATTTAGGTTAAAATAAAAACATGTAAAGCATGATTAATGAATATTCATTGCAGAATAACAGTTGTTATATATGATACAATTCTAAAGTGTTGTTGTGGTAAGATATTGTTTCTATATTGGAATTGTATTGTCAATGCTGATATGCGAGATAGTTTATTTAGCACCAGTAAAATAAAACTATCCAGCTGAAATGTGATGCTGCTAGTCTTAGGTTTTTATTATCGATTCAGGTGATCCCTATGATGTGTGTGCAATCTGCCTCGAAGATTTCAAAGAAGGGGAAAAGTTAAGGATGCTACCATGTTCACATTGTAAGAATAATTCCCTGTTCTCTTATTCTACAAAAGCTATAAAGAACTATATTCATAAGAAGAGTGTTACTATTTATAATGTTAAATGTATACTTTTTGGATTTTTATTTACAAACTTGACTTGTATGTTTCTAAGTTGTACATTTTTTTGTACAGAAGTAGCTTGAAAAGTTAAGGTATGGCAATAATGTTGTAAATGAAAATTATTTTTTAATATATGTACAGTAATGTTGACACTATATAGGTCATTCCAAATATTGTATTAAAATTCTTAAATTCACTCTTAGGTTAAATGTTATTATTTTATATTTTCATCACTCTTGAGAAGTTTTTGATGCTAAGTCAATTTCACGAGACTTTTTTGACAGTAATATTTGCAAGTAGATCTTTATTTAATTCTTTAAGTCTGAGAAAATTATCATTTTATAATAGCATCATGCTTTCTAATTTATCCTAATTATTGTTGACTGTCTAAAACAAATGTCTTGGATTCTAAAGGTTATCTGTTTAGTGAGGCTGATGATTCTGCGAAGTTTTGTACAATTTATTTTGTTTGGATGGGTTAATATATATTAGATTGTAACCTGATGACTATTATAGACTAACTAGATATTTTCTTGATATGATTTTCTACTGATGTTCGATGAAAGAACAGTGTTAAACATCTGCATTAAATGTGAATTTTTCTTAATTCTAGAAATATCTTTTGTTTTTACTGTTGACAAGAAAATGTTCTACTTCTCTTTTTGCATCTGACAGATGAATGAAATATACCTATCTTGTTCTTTTTGAACTTATTGCAATAGAAATTCAAAAATTTGTATGAAGTTTTGTTGAACGAAAAACTATATAACAAATTTATTCTCTATTGCTAACAATGTGTACTGTGAAGTTCATTATACAGGAACATGTTTCTTACTTTAATTATTTTTTTTGCATAATTTGACTTTCATTGGTAGTTTGCACAATTATGTACTTCAACATTTATCTTACCAGCTTCCTAGAAAAATTAATTTGTCTTTGATAAAATATTGTGTTCTTAGTCATTCCTTACCATTAATCTACTTGTACAGTTTTTAGTACCTTGTATTTTATTGCAGTGAAATTGTTTGAATCTTAGCCAGTAAATACTTTAAATTGTTCACTATATATGTTTTTTTTATATAGCTTATCACACAAAATGCGTTGATCCTTGGCTAACTGACAATCGTCGAACCTGTCCTATGTGTAAACGTAAAGTCATCTTGGATGGTCATCACTCAGAAACTGATAGTGATTCGGATCAAGACTCAACAGGGGAAACTACTCCTTTACTGCATACTTTAAGTAGGGGAAGCAACACCATTGCTGGGGGAGGTACATTTTCTGAAATCATGCCAACTGTTAGACCAACACATATTGAGGAAACTACTCAGACTATTCCTGTGCTTCCTGAACAACCTGGTAGTTTTCTGACTACACAGGTAGAGCTGCATAATTCCACAGAAGTAAATATTCCAGAGGAATTAACAGAACCTGCTCCATTTCATTCACTGAATGGAGATGAACTTGAGGAAGCTGCTGGAAGAGGTCACATCCAGCCTCGAGTCACAGGAGCAGTATCCAAGAGACAACCTGAAGTGTTGGTTTGACTTTTTTAACTGGAAAGTGATGGTAAATAGTGAAATAATGTTTGATGGTTACTTTGGTTTTTATAATACATGTTAAAAGTCTGTTATCAGATGATAAAACCATTCTCAGGCAGACACAAATAAAAAACTTGCAGTATTCAATGAAAAATTGACTGCCATAGAATAACTGTCAGTGTTATATAGTGATACCATCACGTAGTTGTTAATTTAAGCTAAATTTATGCTGAAGGCATTTTGAAGTTTTCGTTTTTTTCTGTGTATATCGTAACGTGTAGGTATAGTTACATCCCAAACAGTGGGAGTTTTTTGTGTAAAGAGGACAGTTGCTACATCATGTACTAATGTTTCACAGGATAAAATAGCTGTTTGTAACTGACCGATATTGTGAGGATATACATTCTTGAATATATGTGTGTGAGTGCACTACTTGCATATTTTTGTTTCTTTGGAATAGTTGAGTTCATGCAAATGTTCCAAAAAAGGAGTAACCTCGTGTGTTTACATATTTTGTATTTAATCCATTGGTATGTAGCTGTTAGAATGTTGCCTGACAGTATTTTTATTGCTATATTTTCAATGGAGTGACTAAAAGATATGTGAACATGTTATTTAGATCAAACAACATTATTCTAAGTGTGGAAATAGACATTGTTTAAAATAAGTAAACAAATGCTGTCAAACACACATTTTTAAACTTAATCGTGTGACATTTTTTGCCCTTTGTATCTTAGTGTATCTATGTATATATATATAATACTAGGTGAAAAAACATTTTTGTACATTTACATCTCCAATAAATGTGCAATGTTGTGTTTGAAATTTACCTATTTTCTAGTATTGAAAACTTAAGTCTTTGATACACACTGAGCATCAGTGTTCCGGAGTTTAAATCTTATGTGGGCTTAAGAAAAAAAATTGTATGCACTAAAGTTTTTTTTTTTTTAAGTCTATTTATCGGTAGTTATTAAATGTGTGTGTAGTTTTGATTCTTCTATGGATATGTCCATGTTTCATGTCGCAGAGATATTGATGTAACCTGTGATACAAAACGAGGAAGAGATATTCTGTGTAGATAAAAAAAAACAAAAAATTAATACCATTGTTAAATTTTTTTATATGTATAGAGACAGTTCTTTTATAAAACTTGGTTTCTAATTCTGTATTGATAAATGTTTACTATTTTCCAGTTATGGTGATTTTAATGCTCTTTTTATTTGTTTTACTAATACAAAAAGCACCACAGATAGTGAAAATATTAACAATTTGTATAGAGGTTTTGTTAAAAAAAGACATATTTATATTTCCATTTTTCATTGAAAAAGTGTGGTATGTTTAACTTGTTTTTCATGTTTCTAGAATTTTGAAACTTGTGATGGTTTTTTTTTACTTACTCCAATTTGGTAACTCGGTTATCATTAATCTCACCACAAGACTGTTGGGTTGTTTCTGTTATCTGTAATTTACTGAAACAGGACTGCATATGGAACCTGTGAAAAGACTAACTTATTCTTGCTAAATAAAAAAAATTGTTGTGATTTTAGTTTTTTTTCCAAGTGATTTTATGTTTGATAATTTCATTATTTTGAAATATTATGGGTAGTTTATTATATAAATATTTTGATTATGTTATGAATGTCTTAAAGATTTTACAAGTAGGCTCCTGTACTATATTTGATTTTTTAATTGCATCTATTAGCATGTAGCATTTCAAGGTTAATTGATCACTGTAATGATGTGGATTCAATAGAAGGATGGAAAAGTGTAGTTATTTGTCACTGATTAAATAAAAGAGGCAAGGCCCAGTGTGAAGATAAACAAGAATTATTGGGAAAGCAGCTGACCAGCTAGTGGAAGTAATTGTTATTATTGAAACAATTGGTTAAGATTAGGTGATTGTAAGAGTTATATTTAAATAAAAGTAAAACAAATAAATTGCATTTTAATCTGAATTTGAAATTACTAAAGTGACTGAACTAAGATATGGAACCCTAGCTGAAAGATCATGGGTAGAGAGAACACTGAGGAGGCTTCACAACATATCTTACTTCCTTCACAGTTGAAACATAAAGGGCCAAGTATGCTCTTACAATTCACAAACACACTGTTTGATCAGTCAAAAAATTTTGCTACTAGAATGTAGAAGTATCTACTTTGTGTGACAGCTGTAAAGTAACAGTAATGCCTAGGGCTGAATTAGCACATGATTAGTCAGAAGTTTTAAACTGGAATTCTAGAAAATTTTACCCAGAAAAAAAAAAACTTACTGAAAATTAATTGTATCAACTAATGTTATATTGTAGATATTTTTGTAATTGTAGTTAAACTCCACACGAGTGCCTTATAAGTGACAGTCAAATCCTATATTTTGGTTACAAGAGTAGCTTAAGAGTTGGTGTTGTTGTCTAGGTCTCTTCTTTCTAGTCTGTTAATTCAAAATTAGAGGGCTAGCAGAGGTAGTGTTTGAGCAGTTTTCTGCAGCCCTCTAGTGGCTCAGTGGTAAGTTTGACGGCTTATAATGATAGAAATTATGTGGTGGGCATATTGTGTGGCTTTGTGCTTATCACCAAACAAACTTTCCAGAAACAAACAAATGAGAAATCCAGCAATATTTTAAAAGTTTTTATCTGTGATATTGTTCCAGGAAATACTTGAGGTCAAATTCAATACTCCAAAATTATATTATGTAATTCTCTGTGAATTGGCCAAATTGGAGAATAATTAAATATTTCTTTCTCAGGTTTTAATTTTTTTTTGCCAACAATAAGAAAGCAAAAGTAACAAATTTAGCAAGTATCAGTAGTTTAAGATTGAAAATACTGATAGCAGTATATGAAATATATTTATGATAACAAGCGTTGAGTGTGAACGTTTTGTACAAATATACTTAAATCTTTACATAAATTTGTGTGTGAAAATTTGAAAAAAAACTTGAAACCTTCTGCTGTTTCCAGAAGTCTGATTCCATTCAAATGTTTTAGGAAAGATATCTGAAATATGAAAATTTTTTTAAATTTAATTTTATCATAAAATGTAGATATATTTTTTAACGAAGTACTTTCTTCCAAATAGTATAAAAAAGTCCTAGACCTATTATTTTATGTTTTAGAATCTCCATTACCAAAGAGAAAACCTAAATGACTATAATTTCTTAAAGAACATTGTAATTACAAAGATGAGGAAAGTGGATATGTGACAAAAGCAAATTTGTAATTAACTTTTAATAAATGCATTGAATTATGAAAATAACTGAAAATGATATTTTTAAATTGTTGTGCAATGAAATTAAGAGCAGTTCGTAAGTCCACAAGTATTTTGTATACAGGATGTCCTAGGCAGTTACTCCAGGGCTTGGGAACATCCATTGGGCCCAAATCAGCTCAAGGCAGCTGTGGATATAACCATCATTGGTGTGACAAATGACTGCTGCTTGTGAATATTGTAACTTCAGCTCTAGAATATACACCTGAGACTTATCTATATAAATATACATGCCATCTAAACCTAGGATAGCAAAATTGTTCTTCACTTTTGATAAAAGGTTCCATGCAAAAGGAGAAATTTGATTTAGTATCAGTTATTCACAGCTGATATATCCAAATCCAAAACACAAAAACAAAATCATTTACTAAAGAAGAACGAGAGATGTGCATTGCTCTCTTTGTAGCAGAAATGCAGAAATAATTGTACTAATAACCCATTATGGGGCATAATGAGAACTACCAAACAGGTTCACATAGATTTTACAGAAGTATTTCTCAATGATGGAATTTGGGAAGACAGATCGATAATAAATTGAGACTTGGTTAGTCCAGTCAAATTAAGGTATTTATCTTTAACTGGTTTGTGAAACCGATCAGTGTATATTCCACCTGACATTTTTGGAGCTGCACAATGTTCTCCAAAGGATTAATCACATCTGTACTGTTACAGTTGGTGTAATATTTCATTTTTTGTACCTTTCACTTGACACAACTCAGGCTCAAACTGCTTTCTGTCCAGGTGACATTTTTAGTGTAGGTTTTCAGCAGGGGTGATAATACCATGCATAAAAAATACTTGGGTTCTTCCATCAATTGATAAAGCTGTCAGCTGAGTATGTTTTGAGTACATACAAGGGTACTTTCCATTGCAAAAGGCTCTGTCATAAAGCTATCATGTTAAAAGCACACCACTGCTACCTGCAGGCTTTTCATAAGCCATCTAGTTTACAAGGATGACAGCATCCCAGAGTCTGTTTTAATAGTCAAATTGCAATACACAATTCCATAGGCACTGTATTTAGTGGCTTCATATTGGCTGTGTATGTCATATGACTTGCTGATCAGCATATTCAAAATCGTTTTGATATAACTGATTTACCCAGCTCTCTCTAATATTGTTGACCGTTTACCTGATGTTCCCTCATAAACCCTTATAGGGCTTGTATAATTGGTTTGCTCTAGTACACATCAAGAATGAAATGTGGAGGAAGAGGGGGAGCATAGCTTTCATGAATTTTACTGTTAGCTAAAGGGGGATCATCAGCTACCCAGTGTTTGAAATATTAGTGTAGTTTTATGGTATTTAGTTCAAATGACTCACGTAGCATACAAGAAACAATTGTATTTCTTCTGAATGTTTAAATGATACGTCATTAACAATTACGTGAGCCTTATAACAAAATATGGCAAAACATTATTAGTTTCATGAATAGAAAATTACCAAAATTTCATTGGATAGTGTCATTTCCAATGTGTATTCATACGATTGGCCCTATTGAGCAAGTTCGATTTTATTAGTTGTTACGTAGGGTGCATAAAAGATCAGTGTATATTTTTTTTCCTTCGTTGTGTTTTGTATGCTGTTCATTTGTATTTCAAAAATATGACGACAGGTCTTGACAGTTCATTTTTCTGGGTTTCACGGAATAAACTATTTTTAAGCGCGCACTTGTGCTTTAGATGTCTTAAAATTGGTCTCCTTTTCTCGTGTTCTTGTTATCAAACCTAAATTTGATTTTTAAATTTCAGAAAGTGTCCACTTGTATTAAAATGTTTACCCATAAGATACGTGTATATATAACTGTAAACTGAAATGGTCAAAACATTCCGGGTTTTGAAATCTGTTTTCTGGGCTGGTGAAAACAATTTTGGGCAGTTGGTCGTCCTGATAGTTTTTCATGAAGTTTAGACAGCACTAGACAGGTTGTGCTATTGTTCAGTGAATATCTGACTGGAATTTGTCACAATAAAAAGATATGTTTGTATTTGTTTCTGTAATTTACAGTATTAACATAATTAAATACTTATAGAATTATCTAGACTAATATATAACGTTAAATACCTTAAATAGTAACAACTACATTGGCCAAATGTGATAGGAATAGCACATGAAGCTTTACATGTGACAATTCTGCTTCGCTGCTTGTAATATCTTAAAAAACCTCGTCAAACACCGCTAACAGCAAGTGTACTCTACTCATGATCTATGGTAGAGTGGTCCTAGAAGCTTTTCGTAATTTGCCTATTACTCATAATTAACACTATTTATCTCTGTTGAATTTTAGCAGCTTTTATAGTAGAAATTATTACCTAATACAATCCGTAGGCAATATCTTTTAGTATTTATCTCATAATGATAAACAGCATAAGTTTCACAATGAAAAATAACGTTCAGTCAACTTCTGTACCGACATTAAAAACGAAGCCTCATATTACTAATAGAAATTATACATTATTAATGCCAGTTTGATCTTGAAAAACCTATAAGGATACTAAAATAGTTTGGTATCGGGCTATCATTATGTATATTTTAAAAGTAGTTATATTACTTTCCGGAAGATGGCAGCAACATATCACAATTCAGAGACATTGAATGACATCATCATGAGCGTTGGAGCTGAAAATGTAAGCACTATTTGAAAATACGCGTAAGAAACGAGTACCACTGCCAGCTGAGTGGAATGTATTTTTTAGGAACAATTGGAGATAATTAAACCAGTAATAAATCGTAGTATAATTTTTTTTTAATCTCCGAGATCTTTTCTTGGATGAAAAATAAATTCCATATTTGAATGAATGAAATATATTTACAGTAATTCATGATTATTTTATAAAATCGTTCTTATAGGATTGATTATTGTAAAAATAGTTAAATAAAACTTTAGATAAGGATTGATTAGTTCAACAATCTATAATTTTTTTATATTGATACACGATACATTGCCTAAATGATAATATGCTGATAAATTATTTTGTATGGAGAAAAATAATACATTTTACGAAGTACGAAATGAGTAACGAATTTTTTAGAGGTTTTAAATTTGTTATCCTGAGAACATTGAAAAAAAGTTTTTATTTCATTTCGTCATTCTTGTGACAAAAACCACATGGTCTACTTTTCCCATGCTGCTCAACCGAAGGGTGAACACCGGTCAGCGGAAGAATACACGTACTGCTCTCAAAGCCGGCAAAGGACGTGCTACACGACTTCTCTTTAGCAACGAACATCTGTACCGAGCGGTGGAGTTGAAGAACGTTTTCGCTGTTGGACTTAGTTTTAAGAAATTTTTCCATAATGTCCTGGCAAAATTACGTTGATAATCAAATCTGTAATCAAGTCGAGTGTAGAATAGCTGTAATCGCTGGGCTACAAAACGGAGGAATATGGGCGAAATATGAAATGGGAAGTAATACACCGGTGAGTCGAACCTAATAGTAAAAATTTTTACTAAAAGTTAAATAATTAGTTATTACCACTATCAATTTTATGTGAAATTATATTTCCATTGTTGTACTTCTAGTTCTACTACTAACACTAATACATGTATTATTAATAATATTTTATTATAAACAGCTAAAGCAAATCTTTATCATTCATGTAGTGGCTAAATAATTTTAAGATATAAAACGTGTTTAATAAATTATAAACTGATTAACAAGTGCATATAGTTCTGAAAGTGAAAAACTTATTTCAAAGTTAGCAAATTATTAAATTAATACGATTTCAATTTTCATACATATTGAACATAAAAAATTTAGTACTTTAATATTTTTTTTAATTTAATTTTTAGACACTTGAGTTTTGCATAACTGAAAATCTAATAACACCAATAAACCTATTAATGAATATTTATTTATTATAATATCACAATTATCCAGATCCTTGGGTGTATTGTGATCTGAATTTAAAAGAAATCCTGTTAAGTGTATTGGTTAACTTCCAAGGTTACAAAAGCAGGAGTTAAGTTTGTATATCTTGTACATGAAACCAAAAAAACTGATCAAGAAGAGTTAGGAAAAAATATTTTAGTGCTTTTATGTAGGACAAAACCTATGAGCTTTGATCAGTCAGGGCTAGAAAAGCAAAAACCCACAATAACTGATTCTTTAAGTTCGAAAGTATTGTTATGTGTCATTTTGACAACTAAAGCTGTTATTGTTTAAGTATTATTGCTCAGTTAAACTATAGAAAATGTTGTACTTTGATTTGTACATCCAGCTCTATAAACTATATAATACCAAGAAAAGGCTCTACAAAGATTATATTTAGCACCTGAGAATCATGAGTCAGACTTGTTATCCATTTACAGTTGTTTCTAAAATTATGTAAAATTTGTTTTCTCTCTATTAAATGATAAATGGGTTTTGTAAACCTCTATCTCTGATTTTTAGGGAAGAGGGTTGAGGATGATATAGAAGGCCTTTCTCTCTTACTTAGCAGTTGACAACTAGTATTACAGACTTAAAATATATGGTAATTGTATGATAGTAATTAAAACTGTTAGAATAAAATATACAACAACAGGCCATTCAATTCAGCATTAAAGGTCACCACAGATTCTGAAATTAAAACTGAACACGACTAATTGAAGCTTAACACATCCATGTACATAACCACTGACCCTGGACTAATATATAAAAAAAAGGTAACCTTTACAGTATTCCTGTACCTGTGGTACATATTTTGTGAAAGATGTCAGAGTAAATCTATTAAGTAATATTTGTCTAAATTTATACTTTGTCATTAAATGTATAAAAGTATCATACTATTTATTAATCATTGAAACTACCGATATCTGATAATGGTCCCATATCATTTCTACGGCACTAATGAGTAATGTAAGTAGTTATAATGTTATTGGTGCTACCATTAACTGTAGCAACCTATATTGATTTTTATTTTGGTTCAGCTGGGAATCTAAAGACATCTGGTTCTGAACCTTGCCTATTGGTGTATCCAAAAGTGCAATAGTAGAAATGCATTTAAGTTATTTTTTCATTGCCTAAATATGTGTGTGCTTTGGCCCAACATGGCTGACATGAGGAGAAAACAAGATATTATTATGTCATGATGTCACTGGAAAGGTCTGTTAGGTTTACATAACCAGTACTATATGGATGATTGGCTCCTCTTAACCCTGTCCCGGGAGACATCCTCTGCTATGATCTCCTTTCTCCTTTGGTGGTGTTTGAGTTAACTGGTCATGCTGTCAGTCAGTACTGACCCCCAATTAGTATTTGATTTATTTTCAGGTTCTTATTCAATGCATTTGCTTGGTGGACTCGGAGCATCTGGTTTCCAAAGCTCTCATGTTCCCTTCTCTTCATCCATGAAATGTTCTGTATCTTTTTTGGACTCTAGCTTCACTCAATTTCCTTATACCTCTGAGGCATGGCATTTGTATTCCTGCCAGTAAATTCTGGTAGATCAGTGGACTAGGTTCAAAGATTCACTTTTGTTTTTCTCCCTCTATGTCTCTTCATCTTGAGCTATCTTGATGGCTTGATCATTCCCACACAACACAGGGGTGGGGCTGGCATTTCTGGACACCTTCACAGTTTCATATGTGTGGTCTTCAGAGGAGTTGTCTCTGCACATCAACTCAATATCATTGAGGTGTAGCACTTCATAGGACCTACTTCCATTCTTCTGTCACATCTGTCTTGACTTCATATTATGATCCATTTTCACAACTCCACTGTTGTTTATTATATCAGTTGACAGGGAGGTACTTTCTCACTTGATCTTAGCTTTCAACTATAAGCTCCTTTGGGCCCATGACCACAAAATCTGTTGTCTGCCTGTCATGTCCCGTGAGCTTTGAACTGAGTGGTGGATTTATAGTCTTGCCCAGACCAGATCCTTTCAACAAAGTGATCCTTGCATCCTGTGTTTTTTTAGTGGATTTGTTCTCACTTTGGATGTCCACTCATTAATACCTTTACAATTTCTCTAAACATTAGGCTTACACTCTTATGGTCAGCAGTTCCAGACTTGATTCCCTATTAGTGAATACTCTTGAGTCAGAATTGGTTCAACCTTTTCTTTATACCTATACTCCTCTTTAACTTCTTCCTCAGATGTTGTCTTTAATTTCCACTTCCTGTGTTGGGCTCTTCTCATTGCTCATTTAACCAGTTCAATCGTCCATCTTTCGCCATGGTGTGCCACAACTTCATCTTTAGGTGTGGCTTTTGTCTGGTCCCTTGCAAGATGGACAGGATTTTCTCACACAATATCCTGTTTTTTATTCTCTCTTGCAGTTTATTAGCACAATTTAATGTTTTATTAAGTTTGATCCATCTGCCTCTCTTTTCCCTAGGCTGTCCAACTCTTCCTCATTTTACTTTCTATTTTATCTGACCTTTCAAGAGTGGTATATTGTTTTATGTGTTTACTAGATACCGAGTGGTTTTGTCGACAACCTTCTACCTCTTTCCTTGGCCATATATTTCATATTTCTCATAAGACGTATTTTTACCGTCTATCTAACGAAATGCCTAAAATATTTTTGATTTTATTTCCTTCCCAAGACTTGGGCTGCATGAAAAGGTAGTTGAATGTTTTCTCCAATCATCCTCCCTTCAGTTTCTTCTCTATACAATTGTTCAGATTTTGACCTTCTTCTTTGTCCAGTGTGATTTACACAATGTTACCTTGCTTGTACAACTCCCCTTAGGGGCAATTAAAATATGTTTTACTTTCCTTAGGATCCTTCTATTTCTCATATTATTTCCTTCCACTTTGATGACTGAATTGGATAAGCAGCTCATTTGGTTTATCTATTTCTCCTTGGAAAATGATATTTTTCATCTTTTTAATCTTCCATAAGATTTGTCATTTCATTGGTTCTCTTGCATTTGGCCAATATAGTACCCTGGATTAAATCTAACAGGTAGGGATGTGGACCCCTGACAATTTTTATATGCCTATTCTCCTCTTAACAACTAACACTAATTAAATTTTAGAGTAATTGATGAATTCTTAGAAGAAAGGGTATGCTGATGGCTTAGAGTTCTTTGGAACATTTCATTACTATTTTCTCTCTCCACTTACCATTGTCCAGTCTTCTCAGAGGATCTAAGGGGATGAGTTGTTGAAATTTCTTTTCATTACAGTTTTGACTTTTACCCCTTAAAAAGAAAGGAGACAAAGGATGCCACTGAGTGATCAGTATTGCTTCCTAAAGAATACTTTTCTCTTGCAAAATGTGCATCAAGTAGAAGATAACAGAAAATTGTAAGCCTATCTGTCCTTACTCTACTCAGTGGTCACTGCAGATAGTTTTTTTCTGTGGCACTACTCTGGTAGTACCTCTATTTTTGTACTACTTTCCAAGATGTATTGTAGAAAGAAAGAAACAAGAGTGGCTAAACAGCCATTCAACAAGACAACTTTAATGTGATGATCCCACTGGTATGAGGCTGAGAGGAAACTCCCCTCAATCAGAAATAGGGTAGAGATGTAAACCTAGAAGAGTAGTTAGTATTAGCTCACTGCTAAACTCACAGTAGGTTTAAGAACTTAAATGGGCTGCAACTGCCTATTGAAAGAAAAGGAGACAATGTTTTGGCCTACTCTGCTTCAAGTTCCACCAAAAACAACAAACTCACACCCTGTTTAGTGTTAGCTCATTGGAAGCTAGACTCGTACTCTGTTCAATGTTAGCTCACTGCTATAAGCTAGAATCTCTCACTTGTCTTTGGTTCCAACCTGCATGTTTATGTTTGCCAAGGATTCAATGAAAGGTTGCAGAAAGAGTGCCTTATATCAACAATCAAGCATGCAGAAGACCATGATAGTTTGGGGGTTCAATATCTTTGAATGATGTTAGTCATCTTGACAAAATTGAAGAAATCAAGGATTTGCATAAATATCATAGTATATTAGTTTATTGCAGCAGGTTGGCAGGCCATATGATTGTGGTTATGGCAATATGTCAAGCTGTATAGAATGTGAGAAATAGATGAAATACCAACAATAATATGCCAGTGTGAGGAAGAAACGGCACAGATCAGTGTCTTGAGGAAAATGCAAGACCCACCTGGTTGGTCATACCCATCAGAATTGTCCAGTTCTTGGTGAGGAGGACAACCTGGAACAGGGTGTGAGTCTAGCATCTAGTAATGAGCTAACCTAAACAGGGTGAGTCTAGCTTGTAACAGAGTGTGAGTATTTATCTTTTAGCAGTGAGCTAACACTAAACAGGGTGTGACTTTTATCTTTTAGCAGTGAGCTAACACTAAACAGGGTGTGACTTTTATCTTTTAGCAGTGAGCTAACACTAAACAGGGTGTGACTTATCTTATAGCAGTGAGTTAACACTAAAGCAGGAATGAGATTCTAGATTGTTGCAGTGAGCCAACTCTAAGCAGGCATGAGTCTAGCTTCTAGCAAAGTGGAAACTGTAGTTTCTA